TTATCAATGTTATTTATTCTTTCAAAAAACCAACTCTGATTCATTGATTTTTTTGTGTATCATTCTCTTAGTCTCTATTGCATTGATTTATGCTCTGATCTTTATAATTTCTTCCCTTGTATGAGTTTTGGATTTCTCTTGCTCTTCTTTTTCTAGGAGCTTAAGATTCACTATTATTTATTTGAGCTTGCTCTGTTTTCCTAGTGTGGGCATTCACTGCTATGAATTTCCCATGTAAAACTGCTTTCAGTGTATCTTATAGATTTCTGTATGTTGTACTGGCATTGTCATTAAATTGTAAAAACTGTCTAATTTCTGCTGTGACCCGTCGGTTGTTCAAGAGAGTGTTACTCAACCTCCATGTTTGTGAAGTTCTATGGTTTCTTAGGTTATCGATCTCCAGTTTAACTGCACTATGGTCTGATAGTATACATGGGATAACTTCAATTCCTTTGCATTTAAACATGTTCAATGAGCTAGAATGTGCTCTGTTTTGGAAAATGACCCATGTGCAGCCTAAAAGAATGTATTTTCCTATTTTGTGGGGTGGAACACTCCATAGACATCTATGAAGTCCATTTGTGCAAAATCTTGGTTTGGTTTTAGTATTTCATTGTTGATTTTTAGTCTAGATAATCTGTCTATTTGTGACAAATGGGGTATTGCAGTCCCCCACTACAGTTGTATTAGTGCTTATTTGGTGTTTCGTGTCCCTTAATATTTGTTTTGTATAGTTGGGGACATTAATGTTTGGTGCACGTATGTTTATGATTGTCATCTCTTTCTGTTCAATTTTTCCCTTTACAAGGATATAGTGACCTTGTCTTTCTTAATTAGTTTTGGTTTGAAATTTACATTGTCTGCAAATAAGATAGCTACCCCTGCTTTTTTCCAGGTTCCTGATGCATGGAGAACTGCTTTCCTTCCTTTTACTTTCAGTCTATGAATTTCTTTTTAAGTAGGTGTGTTTCTTGTATACAGCATATTGTTGGATTTTACTTCTTAATCCATTCTGCCAGTCTATTTCTTTATATTCTTTTTTATTTTTGGTACTGGGATCGAACTCAGGCCCTTGTGCTTGTGAGACAGGCACCGGAACCACTGAGCTAAATCCCCAACCCTGCAGGTCTATTTCTTTTGATTGGTAAATTGAGGCCATTGATATTGATGGTTATAACTGATATGTACTGACTTATCATTGCCATGTTATTTTCCTGTTGTTGGTTCTTTTTTATTTCTCTCTCCCTTTAAATTCTTGCCTATTGGATTTGCTCTGTTGGGCCTAATGGAGTTGGACCTTCATTGTCTTTTTCTAGGATATTTTAAAAAATTGTTTGGAGTGCTGGTTTGGTATTCATGAAGTTTCTCAGGTGTTCTTTGTCATGAAAGTATCTTATTTCTCTATTAATTTTGAAAGATAGTTTTGCAGGATACATCAGCCTGTGTTGGAGTTTGTTTTCTTTTAAAGCTTGAAATACCTCACTCCAGGCTCTCCTTGACTTGAAGGCTTATGTTGAAAAGTCTGTGTGATTCTGATGGGCTTTCTTTTAGATGTAATTTGTTTCTTTTCTCTAATTGCTTGTAGTATTTTGTACTTCTGCTGGGTTTCCATGATCTTGATTAGTATATGTCCAGGTGTAGACTTTTTTTTTTTTTTTTTTGGTTTTTTTGGTTTTTTTGGTTTTTTGAGACAGGTTCTCACTATGTACTTGAGACTGACCTGGAACTCACTATGTAGCCCAGGCTGGTCTCGAACTCACAGAGATCCTCCTGCCTCAGCCTCCCGAGTGCTGGGATTACAGGTGTGCGCCACCAAGCCCAGCTAGATTTTTTTAAAAAATCGTAACAGTTGGTGTCCTATATGCCTCATTTATCTGTATGTCAGGTTCTTTGCTCTGTTTGGGAAGTTTTCTATCAATAATTCTGTGAACAGTTTCTTTATGTCGTTTGTGCTTTCTCTTGGACTCCTATTTATCTTACATTATTCTCCTTTACATCATCTAGGAGCTGATGGATTGATTTCTCATGGTCCCTTACTATTTTTAAGAGATCTCTCTTTTCATGGTCACTGACTGCCATCCTGTCTTCTATATATGATATGCTGTCTTCGGATTAGGTTAGTCTGCTATGCATACTTTTAACAGAGTTTTTTAATCTCCTGGATATCAGTCTGAACCTGTTTCATGGATTCCATTTCTTTCTTACGTTGGGGCTTCATGGTTTTCATTTCTTTCCTATGTTGAGCATTCATGGCTTCCATCATGGTCCTGAACTCATCTATTTTTTTTTAATCTGTTTCTGTTCTAAAGTTTAAAATCATGCCTTTTATCTGGGAAATTATTTCTGTATTGAATATTTCTACAGCCTCATTCACTGTTTTTTTTACTTCCTGTGCTATCAGTTCAGGTTGTCCAGGTGGTTATCAACTTTTCCATTTTGTTTCCCTCAGAATTTGCCTTTGGTAAGCTAGAAGACTGTGTCTTGTTTAAATTTATTTTCATTTGTATTACTGTTATTGGTATAGTCCTTGGTTTAATTCCTGAGTAGATACTTTGATATTACTTATTGTAGATATCTTTGTTGCTTGTATTTAGAAACCTTAAGAAATGATTGCTTCTCAGGATATCTTCCAGATATAGCTAGTCTTTAGGATTTGAGTCTCAAGTAACTCAGGGGCAATCTCATTTTCATTATATCAGGAAAAATAACTGATCAGATCAATCATAATACTAGCCCAAGTGATACAATCAGCAGCAATGGAATCAAGCATAGCTTGGGAAATGACAATTTGCAGTAGTTATTATCTATCACCTTTAACTGAGTAAAATAAAATGAAATCGAAGACCAAAATATGTTTATAATGAAAAAACTGATCAATATAGTAACTTTACACTTTGGGATGGGGACTTAGAAGGAGTAAGGCCCTTTTACTATTATTCACGTCTGCTCTAGCTCAGATGAACTTTTATCACCTAGATCTACAGAGAACTGGTCTACTGCCTTCACAAAGGACAAGCAAATAAGTCAGCAGACTCATTCTCTAATAATTTCAAGAAAAAAAAAGTTATATTTATAAAATTTTTCTAGAATATTTCAATTAGAGCTACTACAGTTCAGATAATCCTAATTAGCATACCATTAATTCTCCAGGCTTTTAAAGAGAGCATACTTTTTTTTTTTTTTTTTTTTTTTTTGTGCTGGGGATTGAACTTAGGTCCTTGCACTTGCAAGGCAGGCAGCGGAACCACTAAGCTAAATCCTTAGCCCAAGAGCTCATAACTTTTGTTTTGTTTTGTTTTTTGGGGTTTTTTTGGTACCAGGGATGGAACTCAAATTCTTGCCCTTGCAGGGTGGCAGCAGAACCATGGAGCTACGTCCCTGGCTCATAACTTTTAGTGAATAGTCATTCTCTTGATTTGCTTGTAATACTCTTGTTTTCCTTAAATTTTAGAAAATCTTCAAGTATATGTATAGTTATCATTCTCTATTAATCTTATAAAATACAAGAAGTTAAAAATTTCAAAGTGACAAAGATTCTTAGTAACTGCAAACCATAAAAATTCCTGAACCTTCTCCTAGGCCCATCTTTCTTTATAAAATCTACTTCTAGCGAAGAACCCTGATAAGATATTTTAGCAAACTGCTCCCCCATACATAATTGGGTCTCTCTCTCTCTGTCTCTCTCTCTCTCTCTCTCTCTCTCTCTCTCTCTCTCTCTCTCTGTGTGTGAGAGAGATTCCACCCCTCCATGTGGAATCAGGCAACTACGGGTTAACTGTGGTAACTACGTAACTATGCTCTTCATAGAATGTACCTGAGCAGCCATGGCAACTTCTATAATCTGTCACCAAAAGAGCTAAGGGACTCAGAAAGTCCTGCCAGAACTCTGCTCTCCACCTCTCTACTCTTCTGCTTTGTATAAATCCTGCTTGCTCTATTCCCAGGAAAACTCCAATGGAATTAAGCTTCATAGATGTTAAAATAGGTATATAAGGAAGCACAAACTTCTATTCAGGGCTCTCAAGACTGACAAGTCACTCACTGAGCTGCAACTTTATCCATGATGGCACAAAATTGGAAAGAATTCAAAGAGCTACCAAAGGAAGAATGTATAAATTGTGGTTTATGCACTGGAACATCACAGTAATAAAAATGAAGGAATTATAGAGAATTTACATAACGTGGATCAGTGTCACACATGAGACTGAATGAAGGAAGCAGGGCACAGGAGATTACAAATACATGACTGCATTTATATGAAGTTTGAGCGTAAGCAAAGCTAACCCATGGTGACAGAAGTTTGGAATAGTGGCTATTTTGGGGTCGAGAGGATGCTGACAAAAGAAGCATAAAGAAGATTCTTCAGTGCTGGATATGCGTCTGTGAAGTTCATCAAGCTGTATGCTGAATATCTGTTTATTTCCTATGTAAAGGTTAATTTTAAAAATTCATATAGTAGCAAGAATCTTGGAATAAGCACAGGAAGGTTCTGGTCATGGTTCCATGAGGCACAACTGTTGACAAAGCACTTCTTGGTATTAACCTTGAACCACACAAAAAACAACTATCTTTACCAACAGAAGTACCTAAAAATCAAAAATCAGAAGTCACTGTGCTGAATGATAGACACTGAGGCCTGAAACCTGAGGTCTGTGCAAAAAAGGCCTTTCACTGCCTGCAAGTTGGGTTTGCATCAAGTAAATATAAGGCTGGGGGCGTGACTCGGTACTGCCTAGCATGTGCAAGTTCCTGGCTTCAGTCTGTAATATGCAAAACAAGTAAAGGACGTATATAAATGAACAAATGAATTACATAAATGGAAGAATATACTATGAACTGGTAGAAAATTAACCACAAAAAACATGATGTAGGTAAGATTTGGGAGATGTGTGTGTGTGTGTGTGTGTGTGTGTGTGTACACACACACACACACACACACACATGCATATCTTGATTAGCTGAATGTAGAGTAAAAATTAAAAATCATAACTGCTACTTACTTTGACAGAGACACTCCCCCTGCCTTCCCAATCATCTCTTCGTGGTGCAGTACTGAGTGGTTCCAGGGAACATGGAGGAACTTCAAGAGCGTTCTCATCCACCGCTCAGGATGCAGGACGAGCTGCTCATAGTGAACCAACATGCATTTTTTATAACCAACCTCCATACACTGGTTATACATGGTCTCTATGGCACGATTCCATTTGGTCAAACAGTCTCTGTAGCTGTTCAGGTCAAATCCAGCTATAGTAACTTTGCGAGAAATCATTGAGTGGACTGATGCCCGGCCATCTCGGACCATCAGGAGGAACTTGGCATTGGGGAATAATCTAGCAAGGTATGTTAAGGATTTCAGGGCAAACGGATCTTTGTTACATAAATAAGGGGCTGGCTCCCCGTGCTTGACAATGATTTCTAGTAAGAAGGCTTGCATGGCGGAATCCAGCACTTCATCGGTGACGCCGGCCTCGTCCAAGCGGATCTTCTCTTTACTGGACCGTGACCACATCTGCTTCAGGGCCAGGATGCGAGGGATGACCCTTGTTTCCTCTCCACAGCGGATGTCTGGGTGTGCATCCAGCATGGCCCTCATGAGAGTGGTTCCGCTCCGAGGCACACCACCAATAAATATTAAAGGCATATCTTTGTGGTAGGCAAAGGTCTTGTTGGCTTTGAGGTCCAGGCTGGTTCGCACAGTCGTCTTTGCGCTCTCCAGCTTAACGGGCGGGCTCTGTTCCTCTATGCGGTGATGGCACTCCATGGCGTGCTGGCCCAGGTAAAACACAGTCACAGAGCTAATCACCAGACAGGCCAGGAGTAAGTTCTGCTTCAGTTTTCCAACCATTTTGGTGTGGTTATCTTCTTAGTAAACAGATATTGTGCTCGAAATGATTTCCAAAAAAGGTTCAGGCCATGGAGATTCTACTTGAGCAAGATGATCCACACCTACAAAGAAAAGGAAAAAGACCCTTTTACCATTACATTATAATTGTCTACAAATTAGTCATTGGTTACCACCATGGTGCTGCAGCTAGGAAGAAGCTGAAGCGGTCTGGGGTTGATATTTTAGAACATAATACACACAAATATGAGCAAAAGGAAATCAGTATATAATCAGAAACAGCTTTTCTTAATGCAACAAATCTGAAGATTTGTATCTGGAATAGAATGAAAAAAATAAAACTCTCTCAGACAGTCAAGCAGATCTTTCATGCACCCACACATCTAGAGTGTACCCCAAGGTTGATCACTTGCATTCACATTCGCTTCATTGCCTAACAGTCATTATCTCCACATTCTACTCTAAAGAGAAATCATGGAAGAAATACCAGATACAACTTCCCAGTTTCTAATGGAGATTCAATGTATTCACCCCACAATTTAATTTAGGTACCACACACCAGATAGCTAGGCTTGACTGAGGACAAACTTTGAGAAGGACAGCAAGACAGGGACCTCTGCTCTCAGATGCAAAGTCTTTGGCACAGACAGATGGGCAAACACGGACAATGACATGTGACCAATGCCTCAAGAGAAATATGTCAGGGGACAGTGGGCGCACAGTGAATAGGGCCCTGTATGTCCATATGAGGGATCTTGTAAAGCTGTACAGAAACCAAAAGAGAGAGGGAGCCTAGGGGTTTACACCTGCAATCCCAGCTTCAGGAACTGAGGCAGGAAGATGCAAAGTTTGAGACAAGCCTGGGTAACTTAGTGACTCCGTCCCCAAATAAAAAAATTGTAAAGGGCTGGGAACACAGCTCAGTGTTAGAGGGCTTACCCAGCATGTGCAAGGTCCTGGGCTGGCAAATCATTACTAGGGGGAGAAAAAACTAAAAAGAAAACAGCAGGGAATATTGTAAGCCACAGGAATTTACATGCTGAGCACAGACATGAGAGAACCTGGCATGAGCAGGTGATAGGAAGTAGCCTGGGTGAGCACTGAGTAGCCTGTGGCAGCCTTGGTGGGACAGGTAAAATCTACGCACACAGGTGCTCCAAGCTGCAGATACAGGTGGCCAAACCACTGACCACACACTGGGAAGCAGACAGCAACCAAAATACATTTTGATTTTTAAAATTTCCTTGGAATCCTCACAAGTGTGATGGTTAATTTTCTGTCACCTTGACTGGGAGTATTGTAACAACTAGGTGGTCAGTTTGGCCAAACATCGGTCTAATTATTACTGTGAAAGACTTTTTTTTAGGTGTGATGAGTATTTAAATCCAGAGATTTGGAGTCAGGTAGATTCTCCTAGATAATATAGGAGGGCCTCATCCAAAAATTCAGAGAAAACACCAAGGTTTCCCAGAAGAGAAGGACCTCACCTCCAGACTACACACAGAAACGCTGCCTGTTTCTGAGCTGCTGACCTACAGAAATTGGAGTCAAGACACAACAGCTTCCTGACTGCCCTGTGGATTTCAGACTTGCCGGGTCCACAATCACATGAGCCAATTCCTTAAAATCAACCCCAACCCTTGCCTTGCTCTCCTCCACTCTGTGATTCTACACAGGGTGTAGGTTCTGTGTTTCCAGAGAGCCCTAACACACTAAGTACACCTGGGGCAATGGCCGACTAGACTAGAAAAATGCACTCTGGGTGACAGACTTCCAGCTCTGGCCTAGTAAGAATGTAATAGGCCTTGCCATTCCCTAAAGCCATTCCTAAAGCTGATGACACTGACAACCCTTTCAGTGCTCTGGAAATCAAAGGGTTCTAACAGCCTAAGAATCATTCATGCTTGAAAACTGTAAAAGTTGGGGGAAAACCTCTATGTAGGGACACTCCCATCTTGTCACCTACCTACTCAGTAGAGCGGAGGTCCTGCAGGCACGGGCAGGGCAAGGCAAACCATGAGGATGGTTGGGGGCTGGTGCTAGGGTGGAGGGGATTTGCTGCATTGGGGACAGTGCACAGCATATGCCTCCTGCTTGCACAGTCAAGTGATGGACTAGGGAGGAAGCAAGGAAGAAGGAGACCACTTCTGCAGGCTAAAGTTGCAGTCAGGTCCAAAGGAGACATGAAAGGATGTGGTGGTAAAAGTAAAAGCCAGAGCAGATCTGAAAGCAGCCTCAAGTGTGAACACACTCCCTACCCACACCCTGGCAAGCACTAACTGAACCCGACCACTAAACTACAGGAATAGGGGCAGGGGGGACTCCTAGGAGGCTAGGCTTCGAAGTGAAAGTTAACCAAGTATGTGTCTACTTTATTTAAAAGTTGTCTATATATAAACTAGCATAAAGCATGCATATATGTGGGTGTGTGTGTGCATGCGCATTTGTATTTGTGTGTATATGTGACATCAGCACACATCGACATGAAATGTCCACACAAGCCAACCTGGCAGCAACACAAAGTAGGGCACAGATGCAAGGATTTAAATGCAAGCAGGCCCAAAGGAGCTGGGCACCGTAACTGAAATGCTGTAAACCTGGACTGTTGTCAGTTGCACAACTCTAAAATCTAATAAAAATCACTGAGTCATATACTTCCAGCGGGTGAGCTTTACAATGTATAAATCACACCTCAATACAGCTGGTGTTAGAGAACACATTACTAGAAAAATATTTTAATGGTCCCTATAGGATATACCAACCAAGATCTGGCTTTTGTTTATTCGTATATTCAGTTCTGTTGTTACATATTTCGCCCTATTATTGTGTCAAGCAGCACATAAAGTTTCTATCAAGACTCAAGAATCACAAAGTTGCAGTTTAATGAGAAAAAGACTGCCAAGAAAAAAATGTTAAATGAGATAAATGGTATCAAGATGGCACCGAAAGGTCCAAACAGAACAAAACTGTTATTTATAATACAGAAGACACACTTAAGCTGTTATTCCAGTATTCAACTGGAAAAAGAATGGGTAGGAAGAAAAAAACAATGGCAAGAAAAGACAGTAAATAAAAAAACAGAATTGAGATTCAACTCTACTCTAGAACAGTAATATATCTTGGTTGAAGAAACTAAAACCACATTACAAGTACGCACACACACACACACACACACACACACACACACACTATGTAAAAATAAACTCTTGAATTTCCTGGACTGGAAAAGACAGTCAATACAGTTGAGGACCTGTGTTTCAAGCATAACAAAGGAAAAGCCCAACTGGACATACCCTGCAATTTAAATATGTAGGAAATAGTTTTTCAGGCTTCCAGACATGAATCAAAGGACTAAATAACAAACTGGCATTAGATGTCCCTAATATATTAAGTGCTTGTCCTCTGGGGTGTGTGTGTGTGTGTATTCTTTAAATATGCCATAGTGAACACACATTACTTTTCTAAGTGTGAAAGGATAAATCAATATTTTAAAAAGAATAGGAACAATCTGTCTTTTAAAATGGCAGTTAGGCTAGGATTTGAAGAATGAACAGGAGTTAGGCAGTATGAAGGGAAGAGCATTCCAAACAAAAGTAAATGGATATGCCAAAGTGCATATAATGAGAAGGCATTTTAATTTTAAAGCTTTCTAGAAGGAAGAAGTAGGTAGGCCAAGGTAGGGGCAAAGCAGTGGAAAATGGTGATGAGAATTGATATCTTCTGCATCAAGTTCAGGATATGAAATTTTAGGACACATAAAAAATTTCTCAGAGCTTTAGTCTAAAACTTCCCCCTAAAGCCTCATGTGTGGAACAGGCACTATACTCACCAATGAATTCACCTACTGATGAGTTCAGCAGCTGAGTTGCTGTTAGGAGGTGGGGCCTGGCTGGAGGTGGTCTCTGAGGTGTGCCCTGGGAGGGTGGATTCTTGTCCCTACTTCCTCCCTTTGCTCTCTGCTTCCTGGCTGTGATGGGTTGGGAATCTTTCCTCTGCCATGCCATTTCTTCCATGGAGCCAACCAATCATGGAATCCCCTGAAAATCATGAGCCAAATTCTCTTTCTTTAAATTGCTCATGTTGGGTATTTTGTCCCAGCAATGGAAAAGTGCTCAATACAGAGAAGTGGGGGACCACCACCTGCCTTGCAAGTACAAGGTCCTGAGTTCAATCCCTGATACAACACCCCCCCAAAAGAAGAAAAAAAAGAAAAGTGGGGGAATGGAGTACTTGACCATATAGCTCAGAAGTTTTTGGGATTTGTCTGTTTGGAAAAGAACTTTGGAAAAGTTTGAAGAAGCAGGCTAGAGGCCCCCTAGAATGCTATAAACAGTGTGTGATGGGTGATTCTAGTCAGAGCTCAAAGACCAGAATGCTGATAAGAATGTACAGTGAAGGCCAGACTCAGAAGTTTTCATTTGGAAACAAGGACTCTATTGGCAGTTGGACTAGATGCCATGTGTATTAAACTCCAGCAGAAAATTTTTCCTCATTTTGCCCATGTGTTCAGACTGCAAGGGACTGAGATTAAGGGCAATGGACTAACTGATCTAGCACAGGAAATTTTGGAGCAGCCCAACATTCAAGTTATGGCACAGGCACTGCTTGCTGCTTTTAGCCAGATTTATAGGGAGAATCGGGAGCCGAACACAGAGCCAAAAGATACAGAAAGTTTCCAGTTTTG